ATATATCAGAATCCCTAGGTCATGGCATATCAAATACAACCTCAAAATCATCCATCTTGGTGAATTATGCAAGTTAGACTTTGAATTCATGCATAACTAGTTTCACTCATCTTAAATCACCTTAAACTCAAGTCTAATCACTTCATCTTCACCAAATCAGAATCAAAGCAACCTCCACTTCAAAAGTTCATGGAATTTCAAAAATTTAATCCAAGAAAAGAAGGAGGAAGGTGAAGATACCTAACCCTTATTCTAAGGAATACTTGAAAATTCCTTGATTTTCACCTCCTTTTTGCTTTTGATTTGTAATTCAAAACCTCTTCTCCTTCTCTTCTTGACCAACGTGGCTGTAACAAATGGGTGGAAAATGGCATAGGTTATCTCCACCTCTTCATAATTAATATATACTAAACATTATTAAAAATTCCTTCCATGTCCTTTTAAATGAAAATTGCCACTATAATCCTCCCTTTTGTTTTCCCTTCATCCTTTTTGGCACTCTAATCTTTTTAATCACTTTCACTTTAGTCCTTAGTAGGTATCAAAGCCAAGTGTAATTTTAATTATTTTAAACCCCATTAAGAAAAGGGTCATACTGAAATTTACCGGTTTTCGGGCTTTCCGGGTAAAAATCGTACTTTTTCTTTAAGAAGTCATTCCTCTTTAAACTCATTTTTGATTTTCCCTTTAATCTTTTCAAAATTGATTTGTAATCACATTAACTAACCATTTAATTGATATTCACATCCCTCAATATTTTCTAGTGTTTCCCATTATTCTTAATGTTTTCCTTTCATTCGGATAACGAATTTCATCGAAAAGCTAGAAAATTAGCCAGGAACTACAAAGTTGAGGATTCATTACAACTCTTCCCTCCTTAAAGTGAAATTTCGGTCTTTCGAAATTTTAACCGTATAAATCTCCTGAATAATTGTGGATGTTGTTCTTTCTCATATCTTCTTCACGTTCCCAAGTAGCCTCTTCTCTGGAGTGGCTCTCCATAATCACCTTAACTAAAGGGGATCTGTTTATTCCGAAGTTGCTTAAACTTCCTTAGCCTATTGATAGCCCACTGGTTCTTTCATCATATGTGAAAAGTCCGATAACTTCAATTGATTCCTAAAGGCAATATTTATGTGAAGGGTCCGATCTATGATCTCCGAGCCATAGAACATGGGAAAAACATTTATGAATCTTATCGAAATTCTGGTTGGGTAAGGGCTAACCTATTATGCCAATGGACCAATCCTCTCAAGTTTTCACTAAGGTCCTATTGAAGCGAGGACTCAATTTTCCTTTCTACCAAATCTTCATAACACGGGGCTTCCAAGGGAAACCTTAAGGAATATTTATCACCCAAACATTATACTCTATATTCTCTTCTCTTTAGATCCACATATGACTTTTGTCATCTGAGCTGCTTTCAATCTTCTTTAATTACTTTTGATCTTTTTCTTTTCTGCCTTTGTTAATAATTTCAGGACTAGCCAATTGCCTTTCACCAACTTTCATCCCAACATAGGGTGTCCTTACATTTTTCTACCATATTAAAGGCTTCCATATGGATGGCATTCCGATACTGTCTTGGTAACTGTATTATAAGCAAATTTCCCATCAAAAGGCAAATATTTTATCCCAGTACCTTCAAACTTAAGAACACCAAGCTCGAAGCATATCCTCCAATATTTGAATAATCCTCTCGGATTGACCCATTCTGGTCTAGGATGGAATGCGTACTAAAATTCAATCTAGTTGGCCCAGGGCTTTTCTGGTTAGAGCTAACCCCAAAATCAGATGTGGAATCTTGGGTAGATGTGAATCTTGGATCTCTATCGGAAACAATGGATACTGGCACTCCATGTAGCTTAATTATTTCACCAATATATATTTCTGCCAATTTCTCTAAACTATAGTATGATCTTACAGGTAGGAAATGAGCACTCTTCGTCAATCTATCCACAATAACCCAAACGGCATCATGTTTCTTCTGGGTAAGTGGAAGTCCCATTAGAAAATTCATAGTCACTCTTTCCCATTTCCATTCTAGAATCTGAAGTGGATGATGTAACCCTGCTGGTACTTGATGTTCTGCCTTGACTTGTTGACAAGTTAGACATTTAGATACAAATTCAGCAATATCTTTCTTCATACCAGTCCACCAATAGTTCCTCTTCAAATCCCTACACATCTTGCGTTCCCGCCTGGAGGTCCCGCCTGGATGCATAGCAAATGGAGAATCATGTGCTTCCTTCAAAATGAGATGTCTCAAATCTAAATCTGAAGGAACATATAACCGGTCCCGAAATAATAATAACCCATCTCTACTGACAGAAAAATCTGGTCTTTTACCATCTTATGTCTCTGAAAGAATCTTTTGATACTCATCATCAGTCAATATTGCTGTTCAAATCTGATCAATCAGTAAAGGCTTCACCTGAAGATTAACTAACACCCAATTGTCAGAAATCGTCTCAAACTTTGCATTAATAGACCGTAGATCATGGACTAGAGAGATAACTCTGTAGTCCTCAGGCTAGCAATAGTCTTACGGCTCAGTGCATCTGCTACTACATTAGCTTTCCCTGGCTGATAATCGTAATACAGTCATAATCTTTTATCAACTCAAGCCATCTTCTCTGTCTCAAATTCAACTCCCTTTGAGTACCCAGATACTTCAAACTTTTATGATCGGTGAAGATTTTATGATCGCGGTGAAGATACATTTCTTTCACCCATTAAAGATAATGTCTCCATATCTTTCAATGCAAATACAATGGCTTTTGCCAAAGTTCCAAATCATGTGTAGGCATAATTCCTCTCATTGTGGTTTAAGTTGGCCGTGATTGCATAAAGCAATAACATTTCTTATCCTGCATTAAACACACAAAAAACCTAAATCCATTATGAGAAGCACACTATAAACAGTAAACTTCTTGTACCTGGAGTAGGTAAAGGTCAAAAACTGGAGGCTTCAGTCCAACACTTTTTCAGCTTTATTCAAAGCTTCTCCTGACATTTATCTGTTCCATTTCAAATCTAACGTTCTTTCGCAATAGTTTAGGTTTAAGGGGCCAAAGCAAAATTGAATAGAAAATCCCTTAACAAAACTGCGATAATAAGCCAGCCAAACCCAAGAAACTTACGAATCTCGGAAACATTCTTTGGGTGGGCTTCCAACTGGAAAAATGGCCTCAATCTTACCAGGATCCACTGGCCAATTTACCCTCTTGCAGATACAATATTGACCAAAGAAAAGCAACTTGGTTGCTAACCAGAATTCAACATTTAGAAAAAACTTAGCATTAAAGTTGTTTTTTGTCGAAGAGTTTGAAAAATAATTCTTAGGTGCTTATTCATGCTCTTCTATATCCTTTTGGAATATATCAGAATGTCATCAATAAAAACCCAGCAACAAACTGGTCAAGGTAAGGTCTGAAGTCGTGTTCATCAAACCCATGAATGCTGCTGGGAGCATTTAGTTAATCCGAATGGCATAAAAACTAGAAAACTCATAATGGCCATAGCGAGTCCTGGAATGCCGTCTTTAGGTAATACTCTGCTCTTTAACTTGAGTTTGATGGATACCCCGATCTCCAAATCTATCTTAGAGAATTACAGAAAGCACCCTTAAGCTGATTCAAGAGATCATCAATCCTTGGCAAAGGATACTTATCTTGACTGTGATCTTATTCAACTTGGCGGGTAATCAAATGGCACAACCGTAAACTTACCATCTTCTTTCTTCTTTACAAATAGCACTGGAGCTCCCCATGAGTGGACACCAACTAGGCGAATTAAAACCCCTTTATCAAGGCCAACTCCTGTAATTGGGCTTTCCAATTTCTTTTAAATTCAGCAGGACCATCCTGTAAGGAGTAATGGAGATCGGTTGAGGTCCCTGTCATAACCTCATTCTTCAAAATTTCAACTTTCCCTTTCTTGGAGGCAATACCTGGTAACTTTCTTCTGGAAATATCATTGGAAAAGTCCACACACAGTAGGAAATGTCTTTAAGATTAGGAGGTACCTACCCTTTGTGTCAATAATGTTTGGAGCTAGGTATGGCCTCACCACCATTTGACGAATCCAATTTCTGAGCTAAAGCTTGCAGTATCCACAGATAAGACAGTATCTGTTCTTCTCGCCTGTATTTACCACATTCTACATATTCTTGGCAGTTTAATATAATCTTTCTTCAGGTCCACATCACCACTGCCCTGATATTTTTTTTAAAACCAATCCATACCCAAAATAACATTCAAAAATCTCTGAAGGGCCATCTTCAACTAAATTCAGAAAAGGAATACATGACCTTGGATCATGAGTGGGGCAATCATGATATAATCTTATTAACAATAACCTCCTTGCCCTAAAAGGGACTGATACAAGCACAATCATAACCCAATCTCTAACAAGGAACAGATACATAACAAGAAATTCCAGCACTAATTATAAGCACTAATATAAGAGTGAGATGATCCAGGATCAAACAACACATAAACATCATGATTAAATAAAGAAAATATACCAGCCACTACATCAGCTGAATCGGCATCCTACCTCTGCCTCATAGTATAAACTCTAGCTGGCACACCAATAGGCTCTGTTTGATTCACTCTCCCCTCACTACCCGACATGCTACCTCTACCTCTACCCCTACCTCTGCCTGCAGACTGAGAAGATCCATAACTAGCAGCTAGTCTTTGAATAGATCCCTCTGTGGCTGCATATGCCGTAGTCATTCTCGGTCTAAGGCAATCCCTCACAAAGTGTCCAACCTCGCCACAGTTAAAACATGCTCTTGTGGTCAACTTACACACTCCTCCATGATATCTACCACTCCTGCATGATATCTACCATAATGAACACAACTACGAGTAACTGGAGGAGCTCGTGGAGGTGGCAATGGTGGTCTGAACTGCCTTTGGCTCTATGGCCTCACACTGCTAGATCTAGGAGGAAATGGACTAAATAATCTCCTCTTCTTGCTACTAGAGCTACTAGCCCCTGGGAAAGTCCTCCTGACACACACTCTTCTCCTTCTCTATAGCCTTTTCTTGCTCAACCTTCTCCTGATTCAGAGCTTGTGATACCAATGCAAAAAAATTCTCATGTTCAAAGCCAATCACATGACTCTTAATAATGGGCTTCAATCCCTGTTCAAATCCCTTGCACCTGTCCCTGCCTGTAACTAACATACTCCCAGCATAATAGCTCAACCGAGTAAACTCCCTCTCATACTCAGCTACAGTCCTATGATCCTGTTTGAGCTGTAGAAACTCCTCTATCCTGGCATCCACATAGGTAGATGGAACATTCTTTTTCTTGAACTCCCTCAGGAAGTCTGCCCAAGTCAGAACTGGTGAGTCAGGGAACTGGTGGGTTGCACTTTGCTCCTAGAACTGTCTTCCACCACCATATGCATTCTTCCTGAAGTAAAAGGAGACTGCATTTAATCGTACTTCTGAGCATCATCACACTGGAGCTTTAAGAAAAAACCCTATCCAATTCCTCTCTAGGCCACTGCTCAGCTACCTCTAGCCACTGCTCAGCTACCATCGGGTCAGTGGTGCCTGAAAACTCTGTGGCCCCATACTTAGCCAACTTATCATACTGTCTAACTGGCTACTGCTGCTGCTGTAAGTTACCTGCCATTTGTCTCAATAACGCAGCCATCTGCTGGGCTATAGGGTCAGCAGCTGGTGCAACAGGGACATCATCACCCTCGGGAGCATCACCAATCTCTTCTTGCCTCGCCTCAGACTGTTCCTCAGGAGGATTAAAATTATCTCCCTGACCAACACCCTCCATACTATCTATCGACAACAAAACGCTCTCTGTATACTATCACAGAAAAACATTCATCTTATTAGAATATTGTATGATGTATGATGTAGCTATTCCAACAATTAACAAGTTCATGTCATATTTGAGCAGATTCCATTTCACATTTATATTCAGCAAAAATTATGATCCAATATGCAAAATTAAAACGCTTCTGATACCAAAAATAAACAGTCACACCTTACCTTACTGTAGATATTGGCATGTCCCGTAATTTACTTTAATAAGCATTAAGGCCTTATAAAGCTTACTAAGTTATACTACAAGGGACTAATACTGTTGATTCATTTCATTTATTCTCTTATAAGAAAGAAAAGTAGATTTAATTATTTAAAAGTAAAACTCCTTTTTGGTTTTCTTTTCATCTGTTATCAACAAAATGTTTTTTTTTTTTTTCCTAATTTACTAAAACATATGAAACATAACTCCATTAAAACTCAATATGATTCTCTTTAAACATCAATTATATTAGCAAAAACATAAAATGGTTCCATAACCCATTAAAGCCCCATGGATTTTATTACAATACTGGAAATCCTTTTCACACCTTAGATACATAATAGAAATTTCATACATCATATTTACAGTTGTTCTTGCTCAATATAATAGATGTTCTGTTAATGTTTATTACATCATAACATATTCCAAAAGAAAGTCAAATATTACAATAGCTACATCAGTAGCATTACTAATCTACATTTTCAAACAACGATCTTTCTCCTAGTTCTTTTTCCTTGCCTTTCCCTGCGATAGCACAAAAGCAAACTATCGCTAAGCATTTTTGCTTTAGTGTTGTACTATTATAAATTAAACACAAATTATCAAATTAAATTCTTTATGTGAAATAATGAATCATAAAGTCATAAACCCACCATGTTAAAGGAAATAAGAAAAACAAAACAATACATTTAATCACGAATTCATAATGTAGTCTTACAGCTTTTATAGAATCATTCCGGAGGGGCCATCAGTGTCTAATGTGCAAACATCTAGACCTGCTATTCTCACAAAACCTCAATCTGTTGATATGGATTTCAACAGAAGACTGGGAGAATCTACAACCTCAAACATGGAGGGAGAATCACATCAATCATATATTCATTCTAGCGATTGATTTCCATATTTCAATCGATCGTTAATATCAACTTCAAACAAATGAAGTGATATTTTCGGGGTAATACCATGTCATATCGGCTGTTAAGACTTTGTTAAACCATTCCATTCATGTAATAAATATTTAAAAATCACTGTGTGAACATTTCATTTCGCAAACATACTAAAATTTCCATTCAGTCATGGCCACCCCTCATACTACAGTATCAATTGGCCCAACATCCTCCTCTTTCAAGGTATCAATTGGCCAACATCCTTCTCTTTCAATGTATAAGAATTATAAAATTTATTTGCATGTGTCATTAGGTCGTATGATTTCAAAATAAGCTTTATTCTTTAAAAACGTATGAAATCATATGATTCATAAAGTAAATCCAATGAAAATATTTTGCAAAATCAAAATCATTTTGTTTAAATAAAAGTAGGAAAGGCATAGTACACTAACCTGAGCTAGAAGGCTCCCCTAGCCTTTTTCCTCAAGTAACCACCCTCTCCTCTGTTAAGATACGCTTTGCTTGGTCAACCAGTTTAGATATTCATTCTGCAGATATTGAAAAACACAATGTACACACATGCACTTCTATAGGAATGCAAATTAAGCATTAGAATGTAGTGTCATGCTTTTTCTTTCATTTTCACTATGCTTCTCCAAGTTTCATATGACCTTAGTTGTCATATGACCTTAGTTTAAGCATGAAACACTTCATATCCAACACTTAACCACATCCTAGAAACATAATAATAACAATTATAACAATAGAAGTCAATGGCATGCTAAATTCATTAAATGTTTATGTAATGCAGAATTTCAGCATTTGAGTAGCTTGCATGCCATTGACTATATCTTGAATTTCTCATACTCATTTGCCCTGAAATTTTTACAGCATGTTCCCAACATCTTAGAGTACTGCCCTGTAAAATTTCATAATTTTTAAAGCTTATTTGCATTGTCAAATGACATAATTATAGAATAATTATAAAGACACACATCCCACATAATATATGAGCATTTTTCAAGATGACATAATTATAAGAACTCTGAATTCCAGTTTTCTCATCGCTGAGCCAGCCTGCTTCGATTTAATTTAACTCCATTTTCCTTTTATCCCATGGCTTTGTTTATCAGCATGACATAGTCTCGGGATCCATCTCGGGTTTGCACACCATGCCTTAAACTTTGGGTTAATTAATCTAGTATTTAGGTTAATTAAAAATTGGAGTCACTTAGGGTTTTTCCTAGTTTTCCCTAAAATAATTAAACTAGGTGGCGACTCACACACATCACGTGCATTTCTTCCTTAGTCACATGCATTCATATGCATTTTGATACTTGGGGAGGGGTTCACAGTCTATTACTTACATAACATCATAATATAAGATATATCAGAATCCCTAGGTCATGGCATATCAAATACAACCTCAAAATCATCCATCTTGGTGAATTATGCAAGTTAGACTTTGAATTCATGCATAACTAGTTTCACTCATCTTAAATCACCTTAAACTCAAGTCTAATCACTTCATCTTCACCAAATCAGAATATGAACAAGCAAGGCAACCGTCACTCGCATTACAAAGTTCAATTGGAATTCAAAATTAAATCATAGAAAAGAAAGGAGGAAGGTGAAGATAACTAACCTTATTTTCTTACAGATTACTTGAAAATTCCCTTGATTTTACACCGCTCACTTTTTGCTTGAATTTGGTACATCAAAACATCTTCTTCCATCTTTTCGTTGGACCAACGTGAAGCCTGTAAAAATTAGAAGGTGGAATAAATGGAGATGTTACTCCACCCTCTTCATAAATAATAACTATACTAAGATATAATAAACATTATTAAAAATTCCTTCCATGTCCTTTAAATGAAAATTGCACTATAATCCTCCCTTTTGTTTTCCCTTCATCCTTTGGCACTCTTATCTTTTTAATCACTTCACTTTAGTCCTAGTAGGTATCAACCAAGTGTATATGATATTCTAAATCCCACTTAAGAAAGGTCATATTGAAATTACCGTTTTTCGGCCTTTTCGAGTAAAATCGTGCTTTACCAAGAAGTCATTCCTCTTTAACTCATTTTTGATTTCCTTTAATCTTTCAAATTGATTTGTAATCACATTAATTACAAATTGATTGTAATCACATTAACTACCCTTTTCAAATTGATATTCAACATCCTCAACTATCTAGTGTCTTCCCGATTATTCACGAGTTTTTTCGCTTTCATTTTCGCATAACCGAATTCATCGAAATTTCCCATTATTCTAAGTTTTCCTTTCATTCGGATAACCGAATTCATCGAAAAAGCTAGAATAGCAGGAACTACAAAGTTGAGGATATTACACTACTCCTTCATGAGTGTCACGGCACTTTATGGGCATGTCACCCAGGTCAACATGGAACTTTGGCACTCATCCAATAAGGGTATTACTAGCCACAAATGGAGGAGAATGTGCGGGAATATATACAGATATGCTTGACTTGCCAACAAGACAATGTAGAAGGATGAAAATCTACTAGGCTCCTAGAACCGCTACAAGTGCCAATTAGACCATGGGAATGCATCTCTCTAGACTTTATCAGCGGCTTGCCCAAAGTCGGAGAATTTGACACTATCTTGGTCATCATTGATCGATTTTCCAAGTATGCAACTTTTATTCCCATGGCAAAAACATGTTCAGCGGAAAACACGGCACATGCAATTTTTTTTTTGATATGTGGTCAAAATGTTCCTAAGAGCATCGTCAATGATAGGGATAGTAGGTTCACGAGATCATTTTGGGTAGAGTTGTTCAAGATGCTCGACTCATAGTTGAACTTGTTCACTAGTTTTCATCCTAAGACTGATGGCTAAACGGAACTATTCAATAGTTTGCTGGAGGAGTATCTTCACCATTTTATTTTTGCCAGTCAGAAAAATTGGCCTACTTTACTAGACATTGCCCAATTTTTTTTCAATGCTTAAAAGAGCTCTTCTAAATGTAACACCCACCGCCCAGTCCCGAGAGACCTGACGGCAGATGCCACATTCGGTGCCGAAGGCACCGTCTTAACTTAACATACAAATCATAAAACTAAAATTATGAATTAGAAGTAACTGAGTATTCACAAGTTTCGCGAGTAAATTTTTTTTTTATATAATAGTAATAGAAATTTCATTTCAATTTCTTCTCTTTTTTTTTTATATATACGTTGGGAAAAATTCTACAAAAATACTGTAAGAATATCCCTTTAAAAATTGAACTCGCCAAACATGTGAATACAAAATACTCCCAATTAAACTCTAAACTTCCAACATCTCCAAATAATCATTATAACATAACAACACAATACTCAAACAATTAAGACCTCTAAATAACTTCCAACATCTCCAAATAATCATTATAACATAACCAACACTTTTAATAATTTTGCACTAACTGAATTAAATCATGAATTAGTATTTTAGATCCATCAATTAATTGCATTACATTATATAATATCCTAGAATCATATCAAAACATAGACTTAATATTGTATATTGCAATTCATTTAATAAATCTTATTCGTTATCTCCAATATATACAAAAATAGATTTAATAATTACATACCTGTAATATAACTTTCAAAATAACATAAAATCTGAAATGTAACAATTATACCAGATGGACATATAATTCCTTAATATATATAGGTAATTCTCAAATTCGCTTACACAAACATTAGTCACACTTTTGCCTTTGGAATATTACTCTTCAAATCTTTCAATAGCAACACGATCGTAGCAACCACGATCTTCAACCTACGAGTGATAAAAATCGACGCGCTGAGTATAAAACTCAGTGGTGCTCATAATTCACATACTTACCAAAGTTGTGATGGCAAATTACTTAAAAACAAATTTCATAAAATCATTTATAATCATAAACTCATTAAATTTCAACATACATTTACATTTATAGCAAAAGAAATATCAAATAAACTATTAATTAATAACATAAAGCATTTAATTCTTTATACCATAAATTCTTTACTTAAACATTGAATCACTATAAATACTTTAATTCTTTACTTAAAATATCAAATAAACTTATAATTATAACATAATAATTTAATTCTTTCAAATCATAAATTCATTACTTGAACATTTATTATACCAATACATATACTCTTTATTTTTAATATCATGTACCGAAACTTTTATTTTTAATATCATGTAGACGAGAATATCATAGCACTTTGACAAATTATTTGATAAATAATCCGTTAATTTGCCAGGGTAAGGTTTTAGCCAAAAATAATATGATATCTTTAGCTCAATTCGTTTTTAATTATCTATGAGCAAATATTTTCCATAGGGCTCGCGCACATACTACTTAGGAGAAAGAGAAGCAGATAGGTTTCGAACAGATTCAGAAGACCTTAGGTCGGACGCCAACACCTTTTCAGAAACATATAGAGCGCAGGTTTCGTCTTGAACAGACCCTAGAAGAGCAACCCCACGTGTCTAGCATATGATCATCAGCTTCTTATCAATAATCAAGCATCAAAGCACGGAGCAATGTGCTCGAATAACGGGAACAAGACATGCCGAGCATGCTCATCAGACAGAATAAAATCAAATCACGCATCAAATTCACACTAAGTATATTAGAGCCCAAAATCCTTGTTTTAATTTTTAATTCTTAACACTTATCATAAAACTTGTCTTATTTCTTAGTCTTCTTAAATTCATAATGTAAGCTTACTTTAGAACGTAGTAACTGGAAATTTCATACTTAAACATAATTACTTAACATAGCAAATTTCTTATCATATGAAATCATATATGTAAGCTTACTTATATTCAAAATTCAAAGCACATACACCTTAAATACCCATTTTTTAAAAACTCTAAACATATGAAAGTTATCAAAATAATCATACTTATGTCACATATATAAAATAATTAAGTAAACTTTACTATACTAAGGTGGTTCGATCTCTTAATGGAAACCAAGGGGAGGAATTTGCTTCTCCAATCAAGCATGCTAACATAACTCTTATGCACAAAAGTATCCATTTCAACCCTCATCATCCATTTCAACCCTCATCATGCATTATCTAGACCAATTCCACACTTTTTCAATCTATATCCATTTAAATATATCCACAACAACACTTTTCAAACTTATATCTTATTTTTATCAAATAAATCCTAAAACATACAAATAATCAGGAGAAACTTCCTCACACCTGATTTATAAATACTTTTATCCAAATAAACCTATAATTCAAGACATAGAAAATTTTCCAGCATGAAGATAAACTTGACCTTTGTTATGTTATTTAGACATAACTTAAGTTCTAGATCTCCAAATTAAGTGAAGTTTGATTCATTAGAAAACTAAGACGAAATTCTACAAATGTTATTAAGGGACAATAGCCCAGATCCATCTTTAAGATGGCAAACAAAAGCTAGGAACACAGACCAACAGTCCAGACCTGATTCAGCAGAACTAATTCCAATGTTTATCAAATTCCTACTTATGATTGATTCAGCAGAACTAACATTCCAATGTTTATCAATTCCCTACTTATCCCTAGACACTCAATCAAACCCCAATACCAAAACCAGAGAACATCTTTCAGACACAGGCAACATGTCCTCATGAGCAACTCAGGAACATAATCTTATCATTATAGTGGGTTCAAAATGGGGCATTTAATTTCAGTGGATGCATGTAGCCCGTCATAACAGAGTCAATTTGGGTGTTTCAGCATAATTTGAGGTATAGTACAATCCAAATTGGACTTACAAGAGGAGTTTGGAAAGCTAGATTGACGTAGACCTTATCAACTTTCATGGAAGGACTCTAGACACAAATGGAAATATCTTGAGGAAGTCAGAAAAAATCAGTCCTTAAATCACCACGCAGGGTCACACCGCAATAGAACACTTTTTCCTAAAATTTCAAAGCTTATTATATCAATATACAAGGTAGAGATTTCTACGCACTGTATCTAAAGTACTGCATCAAATATCATCTAAGATCATAAATCCACAAGAAAACAAGAAAACTTAAGGCTTTAATTCCATCAAGTAGGTTCTGCCACTAGGCCATTGGAGGAATGAAAGAGATAACGTTGTTTTTCTATCATTCAACATATAAGCAATACTTGGAAATCTCGCCAAAATACATTTATACCCTCCGTTCAAAAATTTTAAAATAATACCAAATTTATTATAAAATTCCCAATTTTCACAAATAGTATAAACTTCACAAAATCAAAAATTTAAACAAGGTAAGAGGATTTATGAACACTTACCTTAAACATAAGATCTAACAAGCTTAAATCAAACTCTTGAAGCCTTTGTTTGCCTTCTCTTTGGTAGAAGGTTCTCACCCTTTGGCTTAAGTAGTAACTCTCCAAATTACTTGAAAATAATGACCACAAATCACTTCTCATGCTTAATTCTCTAAGATTACTTACTTCAATCAAGTTTAATGGTGTAAATTTGGTGAGTTTACCATGTAGAAATTGAAGGAAAAACAAAAAGAAGAAGGGAGAGGAAGTTCATTGAACTTTAGGCTTAAAACTCAAAAATTCTCAAATCCTTAAAGCTTCCAATACACATGATAACCTTTTGAAATCTTCAAGAGGAAGGTCTTGGAATTGAGTTATTAAGAGTGATTTCTGTGAGAGTAACTTGAGAAGGCAAGGTTCCAGGCCAAGGGAAGCGAGATTAGAAAACACACGTGTGAAAGGAGGAAGAGAAGAAGAGAATGTGTTCTTCAGTTTGAGCCACAAAGCGGCATTTTCGGGTCTTTGTTAACTTTCTCAACATTGGATGGCTAGGATTGAGTCGATCTAATCTAACGGCTATAAATATTCTCCCAATTAAATTCCTTCAAAATATTATTTAACACAATAAAATCCTCAAATTTACTCCATAAAAATAATTCCTCTAATTTCTTTAATTAATATAACACCATTTCAAATTTACTCCATACAAATATTGCCTCTAATTCCTTAATTAATATCACACCTTAATTAACTATTCACTAATTTTCTAAATTCTCCAAAAATATTCATTACTTACTTTCTACCGATAAAAATCATGTATATATACTCCAAAAATATTAAATAAAATATAACACATAGATAGTAATTTTTCTGGACCAAAATAATATTTATTCCCGGACCGATGATACTATTCACAAACCGGTAACTTACTATTTTTTATTCCCGGACCGATGATACTATTCACAAACCGGTAACTTACTATTTCAGACACAAAAAAATGGGGCGTTACATCTTCTACTAATTAGAGTCCATTTGAGATTATTACAAGTCAATAGTCGTTCCTACCTCACACACTGGACATACCATACACTAGGCGAAACTCGAAGGCATACCTATTCACTGCTGAATGGGAACAAAATGCTGAGATGGGTAGAGAAATGGGTGAATCAAGACCATCAACCACTCACATTTGAATTCGGGGATTTGATATTCATCAAGATCACTTCCGTTTTCCAAACTATGACAAGAGACTGATGCGCAAGTATGAAGGTTCAGTTCCCATCATTGCCAAAGTTGGGAAGATAGCATATAAAGTAGACACGCCAGCTTGGATGGGCATCCACCTCATGTTCCATGTCGATCAACTCAAGCTTTATAATCCAGATATGAATGATGTTAGCAGGAGTAAGCTGCAACGACATGTTATTCATAAGAAGCCATCCTTCAACAAAGAAGTGGAGAAGATCTTAGAGACTCGCAAACTGAAGGGAAGTCGATATAAAGAATACCAAGTGTAATGGAGGAATCTACTGCCGTTAGAGAACACCTGGGAGGAGGGAGGCCTACATCAATTTCGTTGTAAGATACATAAGTACCGTCAAAGCACCCTTTTCTACAGAGAGCACTTCAAGACTTAAATTCCTAGTCAAAGAGGGCGTCGATTGTTTGGGTGGGGGAGAATGCAGGGGAGTGACTAGTAATCAAAATCACTTGGATGCCAGAATCCTAGTCTTGACTCTTCATAGGTGCCCTTAAGCCTATAAATGGTTCCATTGGTTACCTTATTATGATATTGATTGCCTTAATATAATATTTGATATATGAATAAAGTCTCACGTTATTGCCTCTACGTGTGATGTTGTGTTATGTGTTGCTATGTGTTCTTCAACGATGTTTGAATTATTTTCGCCTATCACTGGTTTGCAAATAAGGGCCACACGGTTCGTTTTTGGTTGCGAGATTGGGGACCTTGTCAAAGGGTCATAAAATCATCAATAGCCTAAAAAAATCCAGTTCTATCAAAAAAAAAAAAAAAAAAAAAATCAATAGCCTTAAAAATTCCCACGTGCGGTTTCAATAAACAAAAAAAAAAATTAACTACAAATCACATAAACGAAAAACAGTCTAATACACAAGATTGGCATTAGAATAAATTTTTGTTTCAGTGCTCAAATAAGAAGGGGCTCCAAGATTGAAATCCCCACAGAACCCTTCGTTATTCTATTTTTTTGTCGGTATTATTTTTAGGGTTAATTAAGCCTATGGTGATTTCTCTAACCAATCCACAATTTCGCTTCCCACACGCCGATCCCCCGATGAGAAGTTTCGCTCTGTACGAGTGAAGAGCTCATTCGAGTCGCTCCATCATCCTTATCCCTTGCTTAATTCTTCGCTTCTCCGAGGTCTTTTCTGTTTTTTTTAGGTTGGTTTTTTTTCTTTCCACACAATCTTTACGTTTGCTGTTTCCTATTAAACGGGAGTCTGGCCACTATTTTGTCCTCCCTTAAAAAAAAAAAAAAAAAAAAATTAATACAATAACATAAAGAAAACAAGTCTAATACAACAAGATTGGCATTATAATTTTTGTTCAGCTCAAATAAGAAGGGGCTCAAGAATTGAAATCCCCAGAACCTTTTTTCTTTTTTTTGTGTATTTTTTAGGGTTTAATTAAGCCTATTGATTTTCTAACCAAATCACAATTTCCTTCCCGCCGATCCCCCGATGAGAAGTTTCGCTCTGTAGAGTGAGAGCTCAATTCGAGTCGCTCCATCTCCTTTCCCTTGCTTAAATTCTTCGCTTCTCCGAGGTCTTCTGTTTTTTTTAGGTTGTTTTTCTTTTCCCACATCTTTCGGTTGCTGTTTCTTTAACGGATTGGCCTTTTGTCTCCTTGGCAACCAAACAGAGGGAATTGCTATTGTAGATGTGAAGGTCATTTTAATGTGCCGCTCAGAGGAGAATTTTGATACCAGGTGTTGAGAAGGTTGCTATTCTAATTTCGCTTTTCTCTTGATCAGAACATTCCGATGCTTGGTATATAATATGTATGTTATCTGTATGATATCAATCCTTTTTCTGTCTACGTGCTCCATCCATGAAATCGTTTTGTCTTTCTGTTTATCTGTGTATGAATGCGCATGATTCTTTTATTAATTAACTTAAAGTTCTCTTTGTCAATTTGATTTTTTCATTAAATTGTTCAGGTTGGATCAGAAGTTTTTGAATTAGTTCTTTAAGAACTGAACTCTAATATCATTTATACTTGAAGAGTTGAGAGAGAAAGAATGTCTGGTAGAAATCGCGGGCCTCCACTCCCTATGAAAGGCGTACCTCACCCTGGAATAATGCCTGCCATTCATGAACCACACTTTGCCAGAGGGCTAGGACAATTGGCAACCCATCCAGCTTTAATGGAAGAAATGAGAGAATCCCAGTTTGGGATAGATCCCAGGCGGCTTCCCCCTCATCCAGTGATAATGGAGGAGCGCCTTGCTGTCCAGTACCAAGATATTCAAGGTCTTTTGGCTGACAACCAAAGGCTAGCTGCAACCCATGTTGCACTTAAGCAGGAATTGGAAGTTGCCCAGCACGAGTTGCAACAGATGGCACATTTTGCTGATTCATTGCACCTGGAGAAGGATGTGCAGATGAGAGAATTGCATGACAAGTCTCTAAGGCTGGAAGCAGATCTTCATGAGTTGGAGGCTATGCGGACTGAGTTGCGTCATGTTCGTTCTGATATTAAGGAACTTGGTGATAATAGGCAAGAACTTACAGGTCGTGTACAAGCAATGACTCAAGATTTGGCTAGGTATAATGCTGATTTGCAGCAATTGCCAGCTCTGAAGGCAGAAATTGATAGTATGAAGCAGGAATTACAGCATGCTCGGTATGTGCTTGTGCTGCTTAGAAGCATAGAAAATAACCCAAATTTACATTTTAGGCATGGAGTTTTGTTTGACCAGTTTTTATTGGTTTATGGTTGAGGCATAATTTGCCTTGTTTCGTTTTTTTGTTTGCAGAGCTGCCATTGAGTATGAGAAGAAAGGATCTGCTGAGAATTATGAACGTGGTCAAATAATGGAGAAGAAAATGATTGCAATGGCTCGGGAGATGGAGAAGCTCCGTGCAGAGCATGCTAATGCAGAGAAGCGAGCCCGTGCTGCTGCGGCTGTGGGTAATCCAGGTAAACTTCACCTTATTAAATTTAAAGGTTTTTTTCTTTTCATTCTGAGAAACTGCAAAGAGGTGAAATTGGCAAATGGTATGGACAAAGAAGGAAGAACTAAGAGTGAGAAAGTTGCACAAACATTTTTTTTTCTCAAGCAAATGAGATTAAGAAAGAAGAAATTCATAACTATTAAAACAAAGGTAATTTTTAATCCTACTGGATATTAGCTCATGAAACTCCTTGAAAAACTTAAAGAAAATAATTTGAATACCCTACATGTTAAATAAAATTATTACCAAAAGTGTACATTGAAAAAAAAAAAAAAGAGGTGAAAATTACCAAGGAAACCTTTTCAGTTTGTTGGTTGTTTTAACAAAAAAACTGTAATACTAAGAGGAACGATGTTCAAGCACTTGGTGTAGAAAGTTCAGCATAGTTTTATAATAGTTAAGGTGCAAAACAAGTTGATAACAATGCAAAAAATATATAGTCTTATTTTGTAAATGGTAATATGTTGACAGTTGAATTTGTTTACATGTTATATAGTTAAGGGCATCAGTTCCAATATTATTTGTTTTGATATTTCAATCTCATGGGGATGTAACTTTCCCACTCTTTGGATGGGAAAGTACTTGTACACAACACATGGGGAAGCAAGGACAGGGTACACATATCCGAGAATTTAACTTTCATAGGAATGTAACATTCTAGCGCCACTTTCCTGTGTAATTCTGGCAACTAAATGCCCCCTTAGGAGCTGGATTTATGAGTTTTATCACTCTATCTGATACTTTGGCCTTTTCCTATTCCATATCTTCTCTGCTCCCTCCTCCCAACTTCCTCTGTCCCTCTCTTCCCTTCTCATGTGTTTTTTAAGTTTGGTTTCTCTTCAGGTGCAGCTTATAATGCAAATTATGGCAATCCTGAGGCTGGATATGTAGGAAATCCCTATCCTGTTGGCTATGGCATGAACCCTGTAAGTTGTCTGCTTTACTTAGGATCTCCATTTGTGTACGTCTGTAACTAGCTTTTAGATGTTTATATCTGCTTATGCTTGATTTTTAAGTACATTAGGGTTTTTGTATGCGTTTTTGAGGTTTGGTGATTGGTAACTAATCAGATTCTGCTCTTTCTTCCAAATTTCAAAAATTTCAGGTGCAAGCTAATGTTGAAAATTATCCTCAATATGGAGCTGGACCTGGTCCCTGGGGTGCTTACGATATGCAGCGAGCTCAAGGACACCGATAGACTGGTTTCTGAGTAGCTAAGATGTGTGTTAAATGGTACCTTGGGCTGCAACTTATTGGATACTTAAGTTTAATTTTGAATTGCTTCTCATGATAGTTATTTAGGGAGACATCTATTTGCTTTAATGAAGTTGTACCTGAATATAATGACAGCTCATAGTATCCTGGGCGAAATATGCTATTATACTTTTGAGCTATTCTAATTGAAATATTAGCATAAACTCTGCGACCTTCTAATCCTGTTGTTTTATATATTTGTCCATAATCAAGTGTATCCATCTCTTTTCACATCATGTTTTGAATTATGCTTCATAGTGATGAGGTATTTGGTTGCAAGGTTGGCTATTTTGTAGAATATTAAGATCCAGGTACTGAGAAAGGTATTTAGTTCTGGTGTTAACAGTACTGGGATTGGCAACAGAGGGTATTGCTTGTTCCATGATTGATCGTCTGATAATCTTTACTTTTGAACACCTAAAGATAATTGCTGCATTGAAACTTAATCTTATCCTAATCCCACATTAATTGGAAAGAAAGAACCTGGGGGGAGAGAATCGTGGTGCACAGTCCTTTTATTTGTTGCAAAGTCAGTTTGCTTAGATTTCTGGTAAGATTCTGGGAATATCTTGGTGGCTGAGTGGGCTCTGTTGAGTTTTGTGCAGATGCAGGAAGAGCTGAATGCAAGGCTTAATTGAGTTTTCAGCTTGTAATAGTCTTTTTCTCTCTTAGACTTGAGAATAACTACTAAACTCGTGATTACTGTGCAACTGCCCTTCTCACAAAATGTTGCTTTATATTAGAGTAACTTTATAGATTTTAGCTCCTAAGTTTCTGTATGAATGTGCTCATATGAGTTAATTCATTTTGCTGTGATAGAAACTGATTTCTCTTGAAGCTTTTTGTGAGTAATATTGATTGATATAATATAGAAATATGATATAATATAGAAAAAGAAATATAAAAAAAGCTCAATTGTCTTACTCGACAAAAGATTCATTTATATACAATAATTTATGGGTTATTAGAACAATGAGACAATTATACATATGGCTGTGTACTCTGGTCTCTGGTTGTTTTTGAGATACAATGTGAACAATTTTGAACCCTTCAACATACCTTTGAGTACCAGATGAACCTCATATTCGACGATGCATTGTAACATTGATCTTATGTGTAGTTCTTTAGCTTGTCATCCTCCTCATTTTGTTTTCTGTCAATTTCCATAAAGGAAAAGATTTTGCTGTTAACCTAAAGCACTTAACTGGTGATTGTTTCTGTGCTTTAGAAGACATTCCTTAGCAACTAGCTTGTTCTGTAGTTCTATCATTCCATAAAACAGAGATGGTGCATGCCACTCAATCTTTATATCATCGAGGGGGATTGTTCAAAGGATTGTTAATTATGATAAAATCCAACATCTCTTTGGTATCTGCATTCTGATATGTATTTTCCATAATTTCTTTAAATTACAGCTAAAATTTAGTTTATTTAACCAGTACTAGGACTAGAGGTTGTTTGTTGAAATATGTAAGGACCCTGTCTGTGAGAAAACAGTTTATATAGTAGTTTTATTGCCATAAAGCTATGAAGAACAGTTCATACTCTCATTATATTGTTGAACTGGAGATAAAACCTAGAATATTTTGCAGTTTAAGGTTTTTAAGAGTGGAGGAGTGAGTGAGGTTAGGGGCTTGCCTTTTGATGAGGGTTTTGAATTGCTTGTGGTTTTAAAGGAAACTGTGGTTGGAGTTTGGTAAATTAGGTTCCTGGAATCTCTGGGAGAATTGGAAATTGTTAAAGTTTTAAATGGAGGGACTTATCTTCAGGGATATTGTTGGTTAAGGCCTTCAAACGGTAGATGAGTGGTTCTGTTTCAAATCCCTGGGCATTTATTCTTGACAATTCTTATTTGGCTCTTGAATGGTTTGAATCTAGATTTAAAGTTTGCACCTGAGAGGAATTACTGTCTGAGGCGTATTATATGTAGTAAGAAGGGGATAGAAGAAACAAATGCCTTAGTACCAATGCTTGAAAATATCAAAATCATATTTTTTTACAACATTAATGATATGGACAAATGAAACTAGGTCAAAGGAAACATGTCCAGCGTAAACAAAGAAAGCTTTCTAATAGATATGTACCAAGTATACAACGAAAATCTGTTGATATGGACTTTGGTCCAGACCAACTCAATACGACTAAGATCTTTCGATGCTCTGGAATTAAATGAGTCTGAAAATATTATAATTTTTTTGTTCTCACTTTTATCATTTGACATTGGACCTATTTGACTGGACACTGCAACTCATTTATCTTATGATTTTTGGTCATAGCCTAGTTGGCTTCAGCAACATGGATCCATTTTTGCCATCTATTTCTGTTTCGGGCCAAACAATTTGTGACATTCTGATTATCAATTCAGATTTGACCTAAAAGACAAAAATGATTGTTAATTCCATTAGAACTTTCCCATTGCATATATAGAGATTAAATTGGAATTACTTACGATTCTATTATTTATTTATTTATTTTTTTTTTTTGGGATTACCTTGTCGAGTTTGGTGGTCTTATTTGTTGACTAGGGGCCAAAGGTCCTGATTCAAACATCTTAAACCCTAGCAACCTAGTTTCACAATTTGTGCGTAGTTGCTGCTGTTGTTTGCGTTCATTTGCAGAGATTATTACATATTGCAATCACCTATGATGCATAGGGTTAGACATCTCTGCCTTGACTGCACTTACATAGCTATTTTCTACTGTATGGCACTTAAGTTAAAATGTCATTACTTTTTTCGGGAATGTCTCTCTTCTCTGTCCCTCAGCCTCTAATTCTCAAGACACCCACACACATATATTTTGCTAGGGGCTGGCATAAGGAGAAAGATGGTTAATCTTGCCTCAATTGATTTCTGATCCCATGTGGGGTGCTCCATTAAGTTTGTCCTCATGCAATTTGTTCACTGTGTTTCTCATTTTTGACCTAAATCTGTCTTACGAAGTACCATCTGGCAGTGTTGCACAGCTCTTTACTGTCTGTATTAAGTTTATTCTGAGCTACAAGCAGTTAAAAGTGAATGTTTTAATTTCAGAGGCTTTTAACTTTCAAATGGTAGTGCTTTTCTCCTCTATTGGTTTCTTTTTTTGGGGTTTGCTTTTATAATGATTCTTTTTGCCTTTTGAGAGGGAATGTATCCATCTATAATCTTGAGAAGACTTTTAGCGCAAGCCCATAGAGCCCTTCCCTTGATCTTTCCCAGCAGGCAGGAGAAGAAAAGGCCTAGCCTATTAGAAAAAAAAAAAAAAAAAAAAAAAAGACTTCTTACCGCAGCCATACGAGCCCTCTCCCCTTGATATTTCCACGCAGGCAGGCAGAAGAAAAGGCCTAGCCTATTAGAAAAAAACAAAAAAAAAAGAAAAGAAGACAGACAAGAAACGAACATCCCTTTGATATGGGTTAAAAGGAAAAATTCACACACCTCAGAAAATACACGCACAGCTACCTATCACTTGGCCTCTATTAATAAATATAGCTCTTTTTGATGGAGCTCTACTTTCGCGCCGTTTTCTTTTCCCCCCCCAAAATTCTCCCTCTTAATCGTTCAGTGCCTTTCTCTCTACTGGTGTACTTATGTGGAGTCTGGCTTCTGAATCAGAAGGCATAATTCTGTTTTCTCCTTTGGAAAGCGGAACATTCGTCTCAGACAGAACCCTAAAAAAAAAAAAAAAAAAAGAAAAGAAGACAGACAAGAAAACGAACATCTTTGATATGGTTAAAAGGAAAAATCTCAAATAGAACAATACCAGCACATACTATACTTGCTCTATTAACTAAATATAGCTCTTCTTTGATGGCTTACTTCGCGGGTCAAATTCTCTCTTAATGTTAGTGCCTTTCTCCTCTACTGGTGTATTATGTGGAGTTGGCTTTGATCAGAGGCATAATTCTGTTTCTCCCTTTGGAAAGGGACATTGTTTAGAAGAACGGCAACTAACTATTTGGAGCTTAATTACTGGTTTTGCTGGTTGTTTGACGGGACATGTTCAACAATGAAGCTGCACAAATAAGTCTGACAAGTAAGTGTTTGTAACTTTCTGCAAATATAAGCTCTTTTATTTGGATTTAGCTTCCGTTTTGCTGGCCTCAGACAAGAATCCTTTTTTTGTTTGTTTCCCATGGTGCAATTAGATTGGCCGGTTGCTGCCAATTCCTCTCCTTTTTAGAACCTTGCGGGGAGCCTTCTGTAATCAATGGTTGAGGCAGTGCTGAAAATCACGAAATAGATTATACAAGCGTTCTTTTGACTGCAACATTTGCAGCTATATGGATTATGTCCCCTGATGAATTGTGTGTGTGTGTTTTTTTTTTTTGTTAAAATGTTAAGTCTCAGCGATGGTTAAGTTTTGACTGATAAGTTGATGATTCAGTAAGGAATGGTAGTGAGGCTGGATGAGTTTTGCAATTTTCCCACCCCTAAAACATTAGCAATTGGCCGGGAGCAGGGCAAAAACAGACCGGGGCAGGGTCAGGGTCAGTGTAGCTTTTTTTATTTTTTATTTTCTATTGAGAAAAATCATAATCATCATTAAGTATAGACATATAGAATGTTATGTCATTTATTACATTTGACAATGATATTAATATTCTGTTATAAATAGCATATTCTTAAATAAAGTCCTTTCATATTTATAAAATGAAACTATAATATTGTTTCTGAAAGTCGGGGAAAAATTGAGGTAGGAAGACATACCGATTCTCCTGGAGCAACTCTTCCAGCAAATTCAGTCATGTTTTTTCTGTAAATTTGGTTGTAATTTGCTTTCACATATGCAATCATAAGTCTTGAATGGATAATTCCTGATCATTATATGTCCAACTGTAAGTCTTAAGTGGATAATTGCTGATCATTGGAAGTACCTAAGGTGGATAACCAATTGCAGAAATTCTGAAATTCATTGAGGGGACATGTAATGAAGATTTGATGTTGACTTGGAACATTGATGGTATAATATCTGAGAAACGAGTGCTCTAGCAAGTAATACTATTTGCAAATTGCAGTATTTATACTTCTGAGGTGTAAAACTGATAATATGCTGAGCTCTTGAGCATGCTGTGTTGTATTCCTTGGCTGTATTAATAATTGGCAAGATCTTTTCAGAAGTGTTGCCATCATGATCAAGTTATGCATCTAGGGAATCTGAAATTTCTGTTGGAGAAGGCAATTGTAGTCCATTCTTCGAACTGTGTATTTGCAATTGCCTTATTAGTACTAAGAGTTTGTGCTAAACCTTGTGTGGAAGTGTGCCCCATTTCCCCACTCTGTGGGTTTTTCATGTGCAATGAAATCATGACTATCTTGATGCAGTCAATATATCCCAATTCCACTCGGCAGATAATTTTTTTGCTTAATACTGTTGCTACCTTAATATGCTTGATATTTCATGTCAGCAGACTTGCTCTATTTTTGCTTTGTTCTTTCAACTGCTATATATGGTTTGACTGTACAAGTGATGTTAGGTGGTTACACGTGTGATCCTATTATAAGCTTAACCAGCTCCATGTTGGAGCTGTGAATATGAAGGTTCACATATTGTTTGGTCCATGGCATAATCAGGACCAGTGGTATTTTTTATCTTTATTTAGTTGTATTTAAGGCGAATGCCCTTTACTTATCAGGTCTGTTCTTAACAGCATATAATTCTACTTCTGTAGCCTTTGGCATGCCTCTATGCCTTTTTTGTGTCTCATTGATGTTTGTTTGTGACTGTTTTGCCTCCATTGCATTATGGTTTCATGTGTGGTTGACATATTTTTGTTTTTATTTTTTTTAGGCTTGGAACGTTGGGGCTTTTGACTGCAGCCTGTGCACGGGCCGAGAATTTTCATGAGGTATTTGCACTTATTCGCTTGTTTATGCGTTAGTTCACCTTCTATTAGCTGTGGAACCTGTCTTATTTAGTTTTGGAGTAGCTTTGGAGAAAGCCAGCTCTCCAAAGGATAAAAAGAAAAATAAACTGTGGAGAAATCTAAAGTCTGGGTAGTATCACAAACTAACATCACAACCTATTTAGCTCTACATTTAAGGGATTTAAATGATAATTAGTTATAATTGCAGAAAAGTACACAGCACGTGGTCAATTTCAAAAGTCCTAGCCTAACATTAGGGCTGGAACAGTTATGCATTTAAGTTAAACCAATGGAAGTTTTTTATTTCTAATATCATTTAATGAATTTTAATTTGATCTGTGGCTTGCATGAAATAATTGATCAGTATGGTAGTATTTTGGGAGGAGTTTCTCAGGCTAAAATTGTTTAGCAACAGTTTATGTATTTATACTTAATTGAATTGAATGGATACACTTGTGATGCAGGGGGAGGTTGTAGGGCTGTCAGTTTTTTAACAAGTAAGCTAGAATAGGGTTGATTGTAGGTGGAACAGTAAATAATTAGGTTTATAACCTTTGAATTAAAATTTATACTATAATTAAATTCCGAAATGGATACACTCTGTGATAGCACGGGGGAGGTTGTAGGGCTGTCAGTCTTTTTTAACAAAGTAACGCCATAGAAATAGGTTGGATTGTACGGTGGAACAGTAAACTAATTAGGTTTTAGTAACCTTTGAACTTAAAAATTATGAGAAAATAAGATGATTTACAATCGCCTCAATAGTGCTGTCTCATTCTAACGTGATAACAATCCTAACTAAGATTAGGAAATCCCTAATTAAAGAAAGAATTAAAACTCTATTCCTATTCAATGACCTAACAACATACGTAAACTCCTCATAATAAGGCAAACGGAAAACTAAATGCAAATACTGAAATAACCAACAGTAATTAAATAAAATTCTACATTCGTGCTAGGAATCCAATTAGGCACAAACTAGGATTGCGCTCTGCATCATTCTCTCCGGGTTTGAAACAGACTGGGTCTCCGACGATAAGCCTTGAATAATATTCTGCATATTGGCTGCGATCACCCACCTTTGGCTTTTAGCTCTTCTTCCAAGAAATTCATGTTACTTTCAACTCTGCTGTTTATCCCAACCACTTAACAAATGTCCTATATTGTGGTTGCCCACGCCTAGAAACGAGCTCCTTCGACATCCAACACTTCCTCAATAACATCAGCCTTCGAATCTGGCAGCTCTTGTTACTTTGTGCTTCAATGGCAGGCATCGGCCACATTTCATTCAAACCATGAAAAAGTCAAGTCTGAAAACATTAAAAATTGGCGACTGATTTGTAAATCCAGCATGGAAGACTCAATTACACTACGGCAATTGCGACACTGCATCTGTCTTCCAACCACCCTTACAAGCGTGCCAACACACCTTCTAGATTTACAGGCTTATGAAAGTTTCCTTTAGGGCAAACCGTCTCTATGTCTTAAGTGGACACCGCACGAACCCTGGCAATCGCCTTCTCAAATTCTTGTACGCGCGATGCTGGCTTTCGGCTGTCATAGGCAATATGTGCATTGCTGTCTTTTTAAGGCAGCTTTCATCCTGTATCATTTTCCTGATGCTGATCAGCCCCAAACAATTCCCTTCAGCCACTTACTCTACGCTCTTCCGGGGCAAGGGCACCCAAATCGAGTACATTCTGAGGTTTACCACGGTCCCATAAGCAGCTCAAACAGGGTCTTCCTTACTACTTTCGCATGACCTGACGCTTGTCTCATAATGCGAAATTCAGCTTGGGGATAACACTAGATCCCATGCTCTTTTGTACTTGCTCCCAACGAGACACTTCCTTAATAGATTTCCCAAACTACACGATTGACAACTTCCGCTTCTGACCGTCTGTATTGCCGGGTCTGGCAAGTACCTGGATAATACTTTCCAAATTCAGGTTCTCCCAATTTCCTCCCCATAAGTCCTCCAACAGTGCCCCATCAACTCTTAATATCTTCTATCGAAACAATACGACAGTTTGGCAACACCCATGTGTCTCACGATCTCTCGAAAAAATAACAGCAATCATAACTCGCATTAGAACCAGTCTTGAAATGCGCGATACAAATGAGCCATTTTACGAGAAACACGATCCACTACAACAAATACTTAGAACAAATCCCTTCTTGCTGTCTTTGCGAAGCTCCCACCAACAAAATCCATACTCAACCGTGACCAGTGCAATCCTGGCCTTCGCGTAAGGAGCACTCATAATCCTATATTTTGGGCGTCGCCTCCCTCTTTCCGAGTAAACAGCGCTGGACATCGGTTCCACCAATTTTCCTCACATCTTTCTTCCCCATCTTTGGCAATAATAATACCGGTCAGAAACAATCCGAAACACGTCCTCTGTCTCCTACCAAAGTGTCTCCCAAACCCATTTCATTGAAGTTTCCCTCTAATGAATTTGTTTCCCTTAACGCATCCTTCAGCCGAATGCATAGCTTACTTCCCTTTGAATAAATTAACCATCTTCGCAATCCGGTATGCCCGCAGCACCTTTCAGCTTCTGACGAATGCAGTACAATCAGCCCTTTATCTCTGGCAAAAACAATGAATCTGAAATCATACTGGTTTTTCCAGTTCTTAAACCAGTAATTTGAGTGCTCAAAATTGACAAAATTAGGGATCTTTCTATCAACGCTCCCAGCCCACAATATTAGATTGACCCGGATTTATAACTTTAAGTGACCGCCAAATTAACATTCATCCAAGGACAAGCCACACTCACTATATCGCAATGTCGATCTGTTTGAGTTATATTCTGAGATTTTTAAGATACCCTCAAGGCCTGAATGATTAGAAAAACCCAAAAAACTCACCGATCAAGCTACACGCTAATCGTTTGCCTAAATGTTCGAATAGCTTTTCTTACACAAGGCATACGAACCCCTAATCCACTAAGTTGAGCTAACGCTTTCTTAGCTTCAAGACAACTCTTTCCAAAACCTAAAAAACTCATCAAGAGGTCTTGCCCTCTGGCTCAGAACACGCTCCAATCCCCTTCATGTGCAAAGCATCAACCATTCAACAACTAAACTAATTTTCAAACACTCCCCCTGGAAGTCGCACGAACAGGCTGCTCTAGTCATCCAAAAACTTGATCTCGTTTTCAAATCGCCTTTCCTGGGTGCAGATTTGTCCACCAACTTTTTTCCTCTTTCCATACTGATTCACATTATAGATCATAACTTGACGCTGAAATTCTTTGGATCAACCTCTCCTCATACCGAAAGAGGCCAACCCATGAAAGCTTTAACCTTCTTTGCATGGACTTGTGGTGCTGGCATCGCTCGGTAATTGCAACCACCTTTTCTGGATCTGGTCTCTTTAATCCTTCAGCGGCACAATGTTCGCCAGGAATACCCACTTCTGGCTCTGCAGGAAACTGCATTTTTTTAGGTTTATGGTCGGCAGCTGCTCTTCGTACGAACGTAACTCTAACACTTCGTCGCAAGTGCTTTACAATGCATCCTTCCTCGGTGCGGCCTATAAATCAAAATGTCAATCGAATATACCACAAACGAAGAATTCAAAGAAAGGTTTGAGTAATTCTGCGCATGACTCTCATGAATGTGCTTGGTGGCAATTAGAAAGGCCAAATGTGGCATTACTAACCATTCAAATAACCCTCTGGTGCTCTTAAAAGCTGTTTCCCATTCATCACCATGCCCTTCATGCCTAATTTGGTGATATCACTTTTCAAGTCAATCTTTGGAGAACACTTTACGAACCCCGCCTAGTTGATTCAAGCATATCCTCCACCAATCTTCGGTATTGGCAAACTGCGATATTTGATTGTCAATCTTGCTTTACTACGCACGACCTTCTACACCACATTCTTCCCCCTACGCACAACCCGTCTTTCTCTGGTGGTTATAAGGCTGGGCGGCCACATGGCCACTTTTATACTTTCAACGCACCAGACCCTTCCTTTCCAATAATTCCTAAACCCCTGTCCTTCTCTATTTCAAGCCCGCTGTAAAGGAGGGGCATTCGGTTGCAGGCAGCATTTTGGGTAAAAGCCTCCTCCTGGTACCAAATCAATCAGCATGCCTTGGATGCTTCTTAATGGTGGCAAGACCATTTTTCGGCTATTACTCATCTAAATCAGCTCCTTGAATCTCCCTGCAATCAATTGTTGACATTTCAAAGGACTATTCAACCTCGATTTTTCCAACCTGGTCACGCTCCCTATTAGTTTTGCTCAACTAAGGCAATTACCTGTGACTCCACCTACTATGCCTCACGCCTGCAAATTTTCTAACACTTACACCAAGCCCATTTAATTACTAGTTGCAGCTGCCTTTATTTCGGCTGTCCTTGCCTTGTTTTTTTCTTGAGAGGATGCCAAGTCGTACTTCTTCGTTGGGTCCACTTGTACGAACGACATAAGATTAGGCCTTGTCTTGTGGTTCCATATCATGATCATACAACCAACGGTCGTTCACCACTAGAATATGCCCAACATCCATTGGTATACATATAGTGCTTCATCTGCCAAGGTCATCTCCCATTGTGAATCTGCCCCTACAGCATCTGAGATGCTTACTTGGTATTCCCATGTCCTTTCTTCACCAACCTACTCTTGTAATGGATGAGATGTTTCTGTTGTCCAGGCAGCTTTAAATTTCTTCCTACGAGCCCCTCCCTTTGATATTCAATACTTTTCCATAATTTCCCTCCATCAATGACTAAATTCACACACTTTGCCCTTCAACAAAATAACACGCTGTACGGCCAAAATGCCTTAACGCGTCCTCCCAATCTTCCTCCCTTCCACTTCTTTGGTTCATCGCGCCTGTCACTGATGTTGCACCACAACTACAAGACTCAACCTTGAGCTGGTGAACAATCAATTTCTTCTTCCTCATCATATTCATCAAAAATAGGGCCTTGGTCTTCATCATACTCGGCTAAATTCACCCTCCTTTGTGGACAGATGAATGAAGTATGTCCCTTTTCTCTACAAGTAAAACAACGAACTTGAGAATTGTTGCCTCTCCTTGTAGACGAACCAGAATTGTTTTGTCCACCATAAGGTACTATGCCTTTCCCTTTACCGTTCCCGTCAACACGGGCTGTCTCTTCATTGTATTTATTAGTAGCGGCAGCCTCTTTCCCGCTTCGTTGAGTTGTTTGAATCCCTCTTGCAGGTCCGAAATTGTTTTGCAAATTGCTTCTGTTTATGTTTATGGGCCTTCTAGCACCGTAACGAGAAACTCGCTTTTCCAAGCTTGCTAAGGCATATGCTGCTAAGGCATATTGGCGAGCATCTTCAAGATTGTGTAATCGGACTATGCCCATTTCATCTCTAAGGGACTGATTCAAACCAGCAAGGTAGTGAGAGGTAATTTGTTCATTACTTTCAGATATTCCAACTCGAATGGACAAATTATTAAATTCTGCAGCGTACTCTTCAACAGACATGCTATTTTGTTTCAAGCAGTGGAACCGTTCATATAGTTCCATTGCGTAATCAGCTGCTAAAAATTGCTTCCTTAGCTTAGTTTTCATGTGCTCCCACGTGCTGATTTTAAGCTTTCCTTGTCGTGCATGCTGCTCCTCAACTCTCTTCCACCATTGAAGTGCAGTACTCTTTAATGCAGTACTCTTCAATTTAAGCTTTACAAAAAGCACTTTCGAGTTTCAACCATTGGTTTACATTCAAAATAATTTTCTAAACTAGTTTCCCAATCTAAATAGTCTTCGGCATGCGATTTTCCATAAAAATCAGCGACTTCAATTTTAACTGCTCCACTATTTAAATCAAGAGCATGAAGTAAACGCTCTTCCAATCTGCCTCGTGCTGCTGGGTTTGCAGGTCCAGCTTCATGAAAGGGGTTTACATCCTCGACTTCCTCTTCACTCTCAACTCTCAAGAGCTCTTGAAAATCAAGGTTTTTGGTGGTTTGCCTTCCGGAAGTCTCATTCGGGCTTCCCACGGTTTCCTCGACGCTGCCGGCTTGTACAGCCCGGGTCCAAAATCCTCAATCATTCGCCGCATCTGCAGCTTTTTCATCTTGTTTGGGGCTGATTTGCCTCTCTCTGCTCTGCTCTTCCAACCATTGGTTTTAATTCAGACAAAAAAAAAGAATCCTAGGATCGTGGTGTTTGTGCTCTGATACAGTTGAATGCAGGGCGGAGGTTGTAGGGCTGTCAGTTTTTTTTAACAGTAGCAGAATAGGGTTGAATTTGTAAAGGTGGAACAGTAAACTAATTAGGTTTATAACCTTGAATTAAAATTATGAGGAAAATAAAGATGATTTAACCAATGCAATCAGTGCTGTCTATTTATAGTGATAAATCCTAACTAGATTAGGAATCCTAATTAAAGAAAGAATTAAAACTATATTCCTATTCAATGATAAAATAGTAAATCCTAATCAAATAAGGAAACGGAAAACTAATGCAAATCTGAAATAAAACAGTAAATAAAAAAATCCTAGTTGTGCTAGGAATCCAATTAGGACTAGGATTGCTCCTGCATCATATAATGCTATGAGTAGTATTGGATAATTCGTATTATCCACCTGCATTTGCATTCATGCATATACGGCTAAATGCTAGACATGCATTACTTATTAAATCGTTATTTTGTGTTGCATTATGTGTTGCTATTAGAAATGGTTTGATTAGTTGTGATGTGCTTTATGTATGCTTTGCTTGTGTAGAATTGGAATGAAGTGGGTCACCATGGGTTTGTGAGGGCGATCGTAGATACCGTCGGCTATGTATCGGGAGATCGGTGCCCCTATGTGCATCTGATGATATATGATATGGAAAACCATAGGGTGGCCTCCTATTGGTATGGAAAAGAAAAGAGGGTGTAAAAAAAACTATATAAATATTCTTATGGGCCCTTAGCATCAGATGATTGATAATAAAATCAAAATTTACGTGATCATCTAGCCTTTTTTTATGTCTTTCATGGTTCTATGTCAGTTTCTAGTTTAGAAGCATTTGTTCGTATGCTCCTACTTACCTTGTAATCTCACATGAATATATACATATTTCTAAAAGAAAATTGAAGAGGCGATTATGGCTGGAAATAATATAGATCAAGCAAACCATTGGCTTGTTTGATTTCTGCTTTGCTTAGTTCAGCCTTAATCTCAATTTGGTTGGGATCTGTTATATATGTGGACTAGCTTTTTTAGCGTGTGAGAAGAATGTAAGTCGATTGCATTATTAATATGAAGTATTTGACTTTCACTAGCATATATGAATAACAACAAACCATTTACTACAAATGTTCTTTTTATTTATAAATATAATAGACATATTAAGAGTATTGGATTGTAATTAACATCTATTTTTAAACTAAAATAAATTTAAAGTATAACTGGGATCTAATTGCTTTTTTTTTTCCTTAAAGAAATTTTCACCATTTTGCAATATTCATTAAAACATTATTCATTTTGTAAAAATTGATATAAAAAGGTTAAATATAAAATCTGTCTTGATATTTTAACCTTGGAAGGTATTGATGTCAGGTTAAGTGAGAACTCAAACAATCCAAGCACTTGTAATTATTGCCTCAATTCAAAACGATAAAATCTCTGAGTTTCCAAAACATTAATTGCTGCTAAAATCTATTTGAACTTTTATTTATGTACACTTCTGTATGTATAGTTATTTGTAAGTTCCCTAGAAGTTAAGGCTGTGCGAATCCGATTCCAGTACAGTTGTTAAGAAGAACCGGAACGGAACCAAAAATTCGGTTCTTTCATTTTTAGGAACTGTAACCGGAACCGAAGGGAACATTACAAACATCAACAAATCATAGCTAACAATTGAATAACGAAGTTTTATTTATATTGTCAACAAAAAGAATTTAAGTTCAAATAAACATTTATGAATTATGATATTGTTAAAATATTATATACAATAAGAGATGGCAGGAATCATTAGATATTAATTTTTTATGCGGGATAAATAATTTTAATTTATACTCTATTTGTATTATTAATTAAAGAGTATCAACTAATAAAGATTTTGTTTTCACATAATAAAATTTAAGGTCTTCTACAAATAACATAATATACTGAAACATTAAAGAAAAAATATATGGACAAATTGGTTTTTCGGTTCGGTTCAGTTCGGTTTTGGTACGGTTTCGGTGCAGTTCCAGTATGGTTCTTTATAAGAATTGGAACCAGAACCAACATAATAGATTGCATTTGGTTCAGTACGGTTCGGCTCCTACTATCTCAGTTTTTTTTGCGGTTCCGGTTTGGTTCAGTACGGTTCCTCGGTTCGGTTCAGATCCCCCAGGAGCCATGCCAGCCCTACTAGAAGTTCCACTAGTTTATCATGTTCAGTAAGCTAAATTCTCTTTACAGGTTCTGGTATATGCATTTTGGCACTAAATAGGATGTTAATAAATCAACAGCATGAAAGGTTAATCAAGAAATTAATTGGAATTTTGTGTGCTTGAGTTGGTCCTTGCATGATGTATAGTTGTTCTTCTGATATTCTCAGGTCCTCTCCCATTTGGGGCAGCAAATGCTGTTGGCTGTCCTCACATTCAAAATTTTTCATACTTACTCTGGAGAAGACTTGTAATTGAAAGAGGTGCATGGCCATTAGTTTTTTAGATGAGAGAATGGACATCAGTTAGGTGAATTGGCCAAATTCATAAAATTGGGCCCCAACTTTACAACTTCAACCGAGCGGCACCTCAAACTTTGATGTAGACCTATTGTGCCCTTAAAGTTGCAAAATTAGTTAACATTACACCTGCTAAACAATTCTTATGCAATTAAGAAATGCGTGGATACATGTGGTGATTCGTAGACTTCAGTCCACCGTTATAAATCTTCTTTCTACCAAAAGCGATGCATTTCTACTTGCTCCTTTTCCTTCTCCTCCTCTTCTGTTCTCTAATCATCTTACTCTTCTCCTATCCAAACTGGTATGAGCCTCTCTTTCTGTCTTAATTGATGCACTGTTTGGCTTCTATGATCCCCTTTTATGGTTTTGGTTTCATGAGAGGTAGAATTGAAATCAAGTGTTTGTCTTCTTCCCAATTATGGATTAATTTTTGGCAATTTTGTTGTCATTTCCATCGAGGAGGAGTCTGATTATATGAAATTGAATTGCCATCTTGGGTAAACTCTGAGCTGTTTTGATTTCGAAGTCTTCAACTTTTTATACTCAATCGTCTAGATATTAGCCTCGTCTTATCTGTCAGTGGAAGGGAAGGTCACCTTCATCTGGGTTCTTCAATTCATGCATCCATTATTGACATTGTGTATGCTCATTTCAAGTTTAAAGCATGAGTCATCATTGGGCATCTAGTTATTTTAGCTATTATGTTCAATTTCATTTCAGTTTGAGTGACTTGTCATCTGGTTTTCCACTAATTTTTATTTATTTATTGTCGATTCAAAATCCTAAACTTTGTACAAGTTAGTTTCATTCTTTCTATTTTTATGATTCTTTTCTTGACAATTGTAGTGTACTTATTACCTGTTTGATATTTTGCAGGGACGGCTGTAGAACTGTTTGGTTTCTGCGCTGGAGTAATTAATTGACAATATGGCTTCCATATTGTTCAGAAACATTCAGACCAACCCTTTATTGTTGTATTCTACTGCATTCTTTAGAAGAAAGAATCATGTGTTCTGCACATTGAAAAAGCGCTACACAGCCAAACAGCCACTCAAAAAAGAAAAAAGCATGGTAAGCAAATAAAAATTTCACGATAAACCCAGTCTAAAACACTTGATAAACTCACAGAAGACTACGAAACAATCATCTTTGTAGAAACTCATGTCCAACTCTTTACTCTAACCAATGCCTTTGTGTTGGAAACTAACATTAATTGCACTCTGGTAAACAAATGCACTCCACTACCCAGTGTGTTCTGGTAAACGACCCCATTTTGGGCCAAGTCATCAAATTCTGTTACATTGTTCTGTTCTTTGTTGTTTAAAAACGAAGCAGTGGTGTCAAATTTTATTTGTGATTCTTATAGTTCAAAACAGGCAGAGTGAGTTCGTAATTGCAAAAGGAATGCAATTTATGTTGAATGGGAGTCCATTTGTCCAAATGTTTTCAATGCCTATTGGCTCTTGTATTTTGCAACTGACCCTTCGATGACAAACAAAGTTGTCTCTGTTTTTCAAGAAGCTAAAGAGCATGGCGTTGCACTTGCTAGAGCGCTTTCAACGATGCTCAAGACCTCTCTCTATAGTACTCCCTGGCTCCTGCAATGATCAGGTCTTCCAGGTTTGTTTTCATATATATGTCTGATTCTTTTTTTTTTTTTCCTTCTAATTCCTATGTCATTTTCACGTGGCCGGTGTTCATTGATCTGATTTTTTTTTTCTCTTTTTTTCTTTTCTTTTCTTTAATTTTCCATTCTTTCGGTTGAAGGGATTGGATTTTGTAATATCTGAAGCTAAGAGAAATGGGATTAAGCTGGTGTTGAGTTTGGTGAACCATTATGAGAACTTTCAGAGAAAAAGGGCTGTACATTAATGTCTGTATCATCTGATTTCTTCACAAACTCAGTGGTCAAAGGATGCTGCAAGAATCGCATCAAGGTCACTCACTAATGCTGATATGGAAAAATTGTGGTTGATAATTTTGATGGATTTTGTGGAGATTCATTTTATCATTAATGGAGGATCAAATCCAGCAAGAGAGAAGGTACTTTGAGAGGAGAAAGAATTGTGTATGCATGAATGGAGATTCACAATCTGAAATTTTTGCAATGTCTGTTGTCAAATGCGCCTGTTGTTAGCATGACGAGGTAGGTAATGTAAGCTAATTTTACAACTTTAGAGGCAGAACAAGTCAAAGTTAAAGTTTGAGGTTTAACTCAGTTGAAGTTGTAAAGTTAAGGAGCAAGTTTATGTAATTTAGTAGATGAGTTTGGTTGGCACTCTAGGAACTCCATGGATTTCTCAACAGCAATTACCTGTTATATGTGATATAAAATTTTTAGGCTAATTGCAGTAGCATTTAAATGTTAATGGAAATATAAGCAGTGGTTCATTTTGGTTGTGATAGTAGAAAATGGAATCTGAAAATGGCACCTTAGATAATTGTGGAGATCATATCAATTGTTCCGGTAGAAGGATAACGGTCCTTTTTTCACTGCAGGGATTTGGGCATTGGCAGATGGGTTTGTTGCCGAGTTTGAATACGGGGGAAGTGTACATAATTTTGATTTTGCTAACCTGTGCTGAAAGTGACAAAAGGAATTCAACTGGTAGCAATAGCAAAGAAAAGATGATTGGAATACTGTTCAATTTCTCCCCTTAATTTGATCATCATATATAACTTATTTTTTTTTGTTATTTGCACAAGGTGTCAAGAGTTGTTTTTTTTAATGGTCCCCGATAAATCCGATTAATCTCTACTCGCCATCGGAGGTAAAGGGGCTAAATAAGAGAAATTCTGAATCTGATGTGCTTTTCCTCTTCATAGATACAACTATATATACAGAAGCTATGGAATTTTTACATAATTACATCGATTATTTCCTTAATCTTAGTGTTGATCAACATATGATTGTGCCATTTATTGGGGCCATAGAATTCCATTATTTTAGCCTTTATCAATGTAGAGAATAATCATATTCATTATTTACATCTCCCCTCAAATTGATGCAGTACCTGAACAAGCATCAATTTGTTAACCAAGTAATTATGCTGAAAAGAAGCCATTGGTTTGGTGAGCACATATGCAATCTGATCTTCTGATAGAACATGAGAAATAGTGAGAATTTTATCTTACCCTAGCTCACGGATTTAGTGGCAATCAACTTCAATATGTTTGGTCCTTTCGGGGTGCACTGGGTTTGTGGCAAATGTGAAGAGCATTGGTGTTGTCCACATATAGCGTTGTTGGTGATGTAATAAAAATGCCAAAATCTGAGAGAAGTCGATGAAGCCAAACAATTTATGAACTAAGGTTTAGCTACTCGATTTTGCTTTTTATAGTTCCATGAAATGAGAGATGAATCCAAGAAGACACACCAACCAAAAGTAGAGCGTCTAGTATCTTGACATCCAACATAATCTGCATCTAAATATGCTGTGATTGCAAGAGAAGATGTTGAAGGGAAAAATAAACCTCGAGAAAGTGTTCCTCTTAAATAGCGGATTATGCGATGAAGAGCGGCAAGATGTGAACGTTGAGATTAGAAACAAATTGACTAACAACTTGGACAACAAAGGATATATCTTGCGGAGTGATGGTTAGATAGATGAGACTCTTACAAGATGTCTGTATGTAGTAGGATTTGCCAGAGGTTGCCCACTATCTTTCTTCAATTGCAGATTTTGCTCCATGGGAGTAGCACAAAACTTATTATCCGTTAAGTTGGCTAGTTGGATCAAGTCATTAACATATTTTCTTTGACTTAGAAATATACCATGATCAGAATAGGATACCTCTAACCTAAGAAAATAAGTGAGAAGGCTAAGAACCTTCATATGAAAAGATTCCTTTAGAAATTCTTTTAACTTGACAATGCTGGCACAATCGCTGCCTGTGATCACCATATCATCGACATATATTAATAAAATTATGATGCCATTAGGAGTATGATGAGTGAATAAAGAATAATAATCATTTGAGCTTTGTTTTAATCCAAAGGAGCAAATGGTAGAGTGAAACTTATCAAACCATGCATGTGGAGCTTGCTTGAGCCCATAAAGTGATTTATGAAGCTTATTAACCAAGTTTGGATTGGAGAGAGCAAATCAAGGATAGGGTTCCATAAATACTATTTCTTTGAAATCTCCATGAAGAAATATGTTCTTTACATCTACTTGATGCATAGACCACTTTTGAATGGAAGCAACTGCAGTGAGAGTGCGAACAATAGTCATCTGGCCATAGGAGAGAAGGTCTCTTCATAATCTATCCCGTATTCTTGCTTGTACCCTTGAGCAACAAGACAAGCTTTATAACTGTCAAAAGAACCATCAGATTTCACTTTAATAGTATACACCCATTTACTACCAATGACTGTGGTATCATGCAGATGAGGTAACAATTCCCAAGTTTGATTTGCTATCAATGCCTCAAGTTCCTCTTCCATGGCTTTTCTCCAACATACTTGCTCTGCTGCTTGCTTATAATTAGAAGGAATTAAAGTTGAATCAAGTATAGCAAAACAAAGAAGGAAAATTATCATATCACTTAGGAGAATAGCCAAGACATGTAGGTGGATAACCAAAATTGAATCGACATCATTAACATTATTATTAATATCAGAAAAATTTGGCAAGAATGATGATACGGATCCGCCATTACTCATCCATGGAGCTCAAGGGAACAAGGAGCACAACATGCAAAATCCCTTAGTACTTCCTAGTGGACCAATTACAAGAAGTTGTGCAAAGAAATATGGAGCAACCATATCTTTTTACATTAAAGAACTAGTTACACAAGAGCTCCATGACATTGCTTTCAATAAGTGCTATGAAAGAAAATATGGAGCAACCATGTCCTTATACATTCAAGAACAAGTTACACAAGAGCTCCATGACCTTGCTTTCAACAAGTGCTATGAAGAACTTGCAATTGAAGGCACACCTAAACTTCTTACATTGATTGAAGCATATGTTGAGGTGGAACTACCTAAAGACAAGTTGCCTGGATCTGCAGCATATAGCACGCCCAGATCGTGCTAGCTTAGCATGCCCATGCTAGGTAGCACACCCAGGCCGTGCTGGAGCCTGACTTGAGGAGGAAAAACAACAACATGAAACATGCCCGTGCTGTGTAGCACGCCCAGACCATGCTTGAGTCTAACTTGGGAAGGAAAAACAACAACAAGAAGCACGCCAGTGCTAGTTGACATGCCCAGGCCATGCTAGAGTCTGTCTCTAGTGAGAATTAGTTAGTCCAATTGTGTTAATTTTGAGTTGTAATAATGTTAATGGGTTGGGCCACCAATAATTCGGCCACCCTTGGGTTTTTATCCTTAATTTGTTAGTTTAGTTATTTATTCTTATGCTTAGTTGGTTTAGATTAGTCAATCCTTATCCTTAGTTTGTTTGGATTAGTTATTCTAAATCCTTTAAGGATCAGGTCTTTTAGATTTAGTATAAATAGTTTTGTTATGCATATGTTGTTAAAAAAAATATTCAATAAATTAATAAATCTTCAATTTGTCATGCTTTTGGCGTGTTCTTTGATTAGAGATTTGTGAGATTGCATTCCTCCAATTGCAATCAAGAATCAAGGTAAACTTATCAATTTAACTTGTGGGTTATCTTATTCTTCTTTACTCTATTATTGTGTTCTTGCTTCTTAAGCTTTGGTGCCATAAGGGGGAGTTTAGTTTGATCTTTGAACTTATTCCAATCTTGTCATAGAGTTTTTGGAAATTAAATTTCCATAGGGTTCTGCCATCAGTTTGGTATCAGAGCAAAGATTAAAGGTAAATCTTATTTTATTCTAGTTCCTAAGGGTTTTTGAGTTTCCTTGTTTTTCCTTGACTATGTAATTTGTTCTTATTGTTTTGATTAGTTTTAGATTCTGATTTTTGCATTATTTGTATTTTTCATGATTCGTTCTTGTTTTCTTCAAAAAAAAAAAAATCTGGAATTGGTGGCTTTAGATCTTTCCTAATTCAGATCTGTTAAAAAAAAAAGCGAAAAATTCGGCGACCATTGAAGTTGTCTTTTGTGTTGTGTGGTTTTGATGTTGTGTGGTTTTGATCCTAATCCATAGAGATTTTGACCTTATCTTGTGGAATTTAAACTTATCCACTTTGCTACTTGTTAGAGCTTATCCTTATCTAGATTGAGATATACTTTGTGGGATAAGGCAGCATAATTAATTGTCCATATCTTTTGGAGATTACACTTATCCACTTTAATCTTTTGCTAAAATCTAATCTTATCTACTTTATGGGATAAGGCAGCAGAATTATTTGTCCATACTTTTGGGGATTAAACTCATCCACTTAAATCCTTGTTAAAACCTAATCTTATCTAGATTGGATTATATTGTTTGGGATAAGGCAGAATATTTTTGACTTAAATTTGGGATCTTATCTTAGGAAACACATAGTTCTTGCTAGGACAGCCTATTTCACACTTATTGGCACAAGCTTGCACTTTTAGAATTAAAATCAATCAAACTGTGACATCAAGTGAAAATTCTGTGTTTAATCTGAATGTTTTTGTTTTATTGTTTGCTTGCTTTGATTGGGTATAATTAATTAGGTCCATATTTGGTTTGCTTTGTAGTAAACTAAATTCATATATTATATCCAGAATTCGTCCTTTTAAATCCTAGTTTTTCTTTTCTTTGATTGTGCTTTCTTTGCTTCTATTACATTATTAGGGTGTGTTTGTTTGTTTACCACACTCTAAATTGATATAATCAGGTAGTACATAGTCTTGTCCTTGTGCTACCATCCATTATCATTTTGAATCTTTTTTCTAGAATTTATGCTTACTTTTCATTGTTAGGGTTTATTTCCTTGTTTCTAAACGTACTTTTGAGTTGGTCGATTGGCCTGGAAATTCTGAAGTACAATTGGAGGAATTGCAAAGAGTGATTAAAGAGTGTAAACACATGGGAGTGCTTTACTATTAACTCAAATCTTTCGTGTTTTTTGTTTTTAATACTAACCATGAGTATAGGCAAGTCTGGAGATGGTAATGGGGATGGAAATCAAATTAAAGATCCTCAATTGAGACTTTTCATGGAATCAATCCAAGGACAGTTTAGAACCTACAACAGTTTCCTTAAACACATGAGGGAGGAATTACAAGAGATAAAGGCTTCACAAAGCGCTAATACTACAACAGCTTGCCCACAAACTAGATTTCAAACTCATGATGATGAGGAGGCTCAAAACACTGATTTTAGTAAAATTAATGGGGACTTGGGATCAATCAAAATGAGGGTTCCAGAATTCAAGGATAATAATAATGCTAAAGAATACATCGAGTGGGAGAGAAAGGTAGAACAGAACAAATTTTTGAATGCCATAACTATTCTGAAGAGAAGAAATCTCACCTTACAGCTGTTGAATTCAAGGGTTATGCTATGTTTTGGTGGGAACAATTACTATTAAAAAGGTGAAGAAAAGGAATGCGACCTGTGCCACCATGGGAAATCATGAAGGAGTTAATGCACCAAAAGTTTGTTCCTGCTCATTACTTTAGGGACTTACACAATAAATTAGCAAGAATGGTGCAAGGAGGGAAGAGTGTGGAAGATTAATACAAGGAGATGGAGATTTGCATGGCTAGAGCCAAAATTGAGGAAGATGAACAAATCACCATGTCACGGTTCCTTGGGGGTCTAAATAATGATATTGCTAATGCCTTAGAGATGTATCACTATGATACTATGGAAGAGATGGTAGATATGGCTATGAAGATTGAGAGGCAGAAAAAGGGGACATCCACCAACAGGTACCCTAACAACATATGGGGATCTAAATGGTCCAAAGAAGGTGAAAAGAAAGACTTTAGAGGTCCTAATTCTCAAAGGGCAGATTCAGTTTCAAGAGGT